GAATTGGAATGGAGCAAAATAGCTATTTGCATATTGTCTGTATCATACTAGAGTAGAGTTTACTTGTTCCTGATAGATGGTACGACAGTCCAGAGAGAGATGATGAGAGAGAGAGAGAGAGAGAGAGAGTCGAAAGAACTACTGGCCTGATGAACAGGGAAAGTGTCCCAATAACCGACCTGACTGTCCAAAAACTCCCGTGTATGATAAAAAAAAATTGAGAATTACCATCATAAAATTTTACAGACTTATTTAAGTTTCTTGAGCACATAACTAGAGTTGAAGTCAGTGGCATGAAACCGTGAGCGTAATTCAACGGACTAAGTTCAGGTAGGCGATTTTTAGGTTGATCCATTAAAATGCTTCGAAAGTACACTGTCTAACGAAAACTATCAGGTATTACTTGAGTTTATATCCGTGTTTTTAATCTTTCAGCTATAACTTTTCAAAAATTCGTGTCCTGAGCAAACCGCAAATTTGCTCCGACCCACTGATTGACGTTAAAAAAGCAAAAGAGACTAAGTCTCTGACAATTGAGCCATTGATTAACTAGCTAAAATTTCTGAATCTCATATGTGACCGAAGTGAGCTGCTGGTACATTTTTTCGCTTTTCCTCCTGATATTTTTTCTCCCCCATAATTTTTCGAAGGCACGTGACGCAACCCGAGACAAAAAAAAACTGGAAACTGTCTGTCCGACCACTGTTCACATTTTTTGCTTTATCAAAACATTCCCATGTAGATGTGCTCCGAAAGAGACGGAGTACAGTTCCTTCAATTACACGTTCATTATACTGAATGGGGCACAACTCCTGAAACTCATGTTACCTGTCTCTATTGGCTTTGATACCATCCACAGCTCACCGTCCTGTCGTTGTCGATTTTAATTTCTATATCTAGAACCTCAAAAATTGAATAGTTAACTGTAACTGAGAATGATTTCCAGTGGCGGCTCGAAGAAGTTTCTCAGGGCCACCTTCGACTGTCCTTGTTATATCAAAAACGTAGCAGAGGAAACTTTCACACCCTGCTGTGCTGCCTCAACTTTCGTCCTGAAAAATTAATTTTCAATAAACCAGACTATTTCTGCTACATTACAGCCTTCATCGTCTGATATTTGTCGGCATGAAAAGTGATGTTGGCATGAACCCGTCGACCTTGAGAAACTTTCTTGCTTATTGAATTCCCTTGTGTAAGTTTAACCCATTTACTGAAGGTTTTTGTCGCGGCCTCGATCTCACAAAGTTCTTGAGGTCTTTCCGCTAGTTGAGATCTGAAAGGAAGTTGTCAATAGCAGCGAGAAAGTGTCTGTAATTGAAAATATCTCTGACCGGATGTTTTGGTCTCATTGACAAAAACTGCTAAACCCAATATGGTAACTCTGTGTTATCAAAGGTTGTCACTGACCTCTTAGATTTCTGACCTACTGGTCGATCCTGCCTCCCAGCAAAATCTTCGAGCTTTTTTAATGTATTAATTAAACTACTCTAGTTGTCTTTCTTTCTCTGAGTGTTCAGTATCTTAATAACGAAAGCCATAAACACTCAATTTACCACTTTTGTTACCACAGCTCTTGACTTAACTACTTTGCTTGAGATTTTCTTCGCGTTTGTCCTAACCTTGTTTAGCTCTGTTCTGAGAAGTTTGTTTGCAAGGAGTGATCGCAGATCCGAAAAAACAGTTTTTTGAGCCGCCGAAATCTCAATTATTCAGATACAATACTATGTCATTTCCCAATTATAGTTTTAAAAAATACCACCTTGGTAGTATTTGATAAACAAAGTTTAAATGGAGGCCTAACAACGAACTAGTTTCAAAATTGTCACCAAGTTAAAATCCATTTAAACAAGGCATGTGGAACCAAAACTGTACTCATTGTTATGAATATCACGAGGGATAAACCTCAGTTGACACAAAACAAAGCAAAAAAAGCAATTTTTACTCTCCCTCTACAACAAAAAATGCTGAATTGAATATGGCAACTCTAAATTATCAAAATTTGTCACTGAACTCTAAATATTCTGACCTACTGGTCGATTCTGCCTTCAAGCCAATTTTTTCAGCTTCTTTTGATGTGTTACTATAGCAACCGTAGTTGTCATTCTTCTTATGTCAAGTATCTTACCACAAAATGCCAACTTCTGGTGACAAACTTACTCTTTGTGTTAAGTTAGAGTTTAGAAAAAGGTGCTGGAAGGTTGTCTTTTTATTCGAAAACAATTCTCAGAGATTTGAGTCCCAGGTCGCCGTATTTAAGGCGTTTCTGGTAACGATCCAGCCGCTCTGGTTCCGATTTTTCCTTGAGTTTTGACATCAAAACTTCAGGATGGATGAAATAAAAAATACGATATCTTGGCTTTCCAACCAAAGCTAAGGCATTTATGGGTATTTTTGAATGAGCGCCCTCAAAAAAGACGTGTCATTGGAGTTTCTTCAGACTGGATTAAAGTTAACAGAGGTGTGCCGCAAGATACAGTACTGGGACTGTTGTTTTTCTGTTTGTATATCAATGATTCTCAAAAACAGGACTGCTTCGATGGAAGTACTCATCTGTCTCTTTTCTAAATTTTCTAATGACGCATTTTACAAATAACAAAAATCTTTGACAGAACTACTGTTCTCTTACTGAGAATCAGCTTAATTTAAATGCATTAAAATCGGTGTTCATAAGTTTTTGTCGAAAAAGTGATGTACAGAGTGTAGAACCAGACAGTCTTGCTATCAATGATCACTTATGGCAATTTCGTAATAGCCTTAATAATATCTGAGATATGTTATTTTCCAAAGCTCAACAACAATAAAGTTCAGGTTTATCTATTTTTTCAAACTTTTAGGGTTTTTAAATTTGCGAGTACGGCCAATTTGGCATAAAAAAATGTGCGCCAGTTTTCTGCTAAGGCATAGAGAAAGCGCTAATTTAATCTTGTTCAAAGTGAATTTCAAACTCAATTAAAGTGAACTAATTGGTCCAAAAGACGCATCATATCTCGAGAAAAAAAAACTTTGTTCTTGGCAAGGCGTGTGAAGAAGCAAAAGATTGTAGTAAGATTATCTTCTTCAGTTTTTCTTGAAAGAGTATTTTTTTTCAACCAAATGTTGATTGATACTTTTTGGAGGTCAGTCGGAACATCCTGAAATTTGCCCTGATACCACCAAATTTGTTATATTTGATTCGAGATTCGAGCTCAACGGATGTAAATGGATTCGAGCTCAACGAAAAAAAACTATCATGCTTATCAAGTTTATCATGCTGAAGTGAAGGACAAAGTTTTTTATTAATTCGACTTAGAACTACTTCTGGCTGCTTTTTGAGTTCCAGAAAACTATTTTAAAAACTATTATTATTTTGAAGCTCTGAATTTTCTCAAATTTCTTCAGACTTTGAAATAGAGCTTTATATTTTAGTTCTATTCAAGTCATGTTGTGTTTTTTTTTAATGGGAGTTTCTAAATATTGCATTTTCAGCCTTATTATTTTGAGAAAAAAAGTGCGTTAAGATAATTCGTCCCAAAAAACTTTTTGTGCTGGCTGCTGAAGAAATGACAGCCAATTTGTACTCAGTTTGTTTTTTTCGCTTAACAATCCTGACTCTTAAATTGATCTTCCCTGTCGGAATTTTAACTTTAATTGTTGAAAAAAAGAAGCTCTGGCTCAAAAAAGAGCTATTGTTCATCTTCGCTAACTTCATGACTAAACTTAGTTCGTTTTATAATGCAATTTGAAAACCCATTTAAGCATTATTGATTCAAATAATGCATTTCTGAAAGTAAAGATTCAAAAACGAACAAAAAAATTCAACTAATTACTGTCGCTCTGGCTCGTCCAAATCCTTTGGTTTTTGCGAAAAATTAAAAAGAGGTCGGAGTATTTGATTCTGTTTACCGATACAAAAAAAAAATCAATTTTTGCTGACTTTGCGCGGGTTGAAGTTTTCTTCAGCCTCTTTTCGATAAGTTTAAAGGTTTGAAATTGTGCCAATTTTGTCAATTTAGGCGCGATTTTCACCATATTTCTGCTAACGCATAGCATGAGGGACAATTGCTCAAATTGAAATGAGGCGTGTAATTATTCCAACTGGCGCATGGCTATGAAAGAAATGTATCATTTTTAATTTGAAATTTTTTAGAGAAATCTATAAAAAAAATTCGTATAAGCTTGGAACGTTTCTGAAAGGAATTCCGTAAAAACAGGATTCCGTATCATTTTTAATTTGAAATTTTTTAGAGAAATCTATAAAAAAATTTCGTATAAGCTTGGAACGTTTCTGAAAGGAATTCCGTAAAAACAGGATACGCTTAAGAAAAAACTTTTAAAAATTTTTCTGAACACCATCCATTAAGAAACTTAGGCAATTATGAGCTGCATCATATGGTAATTAATGATAATTTCCCAAATAATCGGAACAAACTATACAGCTAAACAAGCCTCTGATACTTGTTGTTCTGACTACTTATGAAGAAAATGAGAGAATGACTGTGCTCGTGATGGTTTTTTCTCCAGATACTTTTTAACTTTTAACTTCCAGTTTTGACGGCATTTTTTTATCATGCAAAAAAAATGTTGCTCAGAGCTCAAATCTAAAACAAGTATTTCACCTTTGGCCAATTGTGTAAACTTATAGGGGTTTAAATTTTACCAACTTGATCAATTTGGGACAATTAACGCGCGATGTATTTCGTGCAATTCTTGTGTTAGCGGAGAAAAACACGTCTATGAAAATGTTTCAAATTGGGTTGAGGCATGCTCTTTGACGTGTTTAAAACATTGCTTTTTTCCTTCTAAAAGTTTCAACTTTGTTGATTTGTCAGATCATCACACATAGCTAATCTGAACGCTTAAAGCTGAAAATTGACGAAAACAATCGTAATTAAAACAATTTCCAAAGGTTATGACAAATCGACTTTCCTAGTGTTTCGTGCATCGACACAAGTAATTAAGAATTGAAATTACTCCGAAGTCAAAACCACTTTGTTTGAAATTCACTGCGGTTTGCCGTCAAGAACTGTTAAGGAGTTTCTTTCTACTTTGTATATTTTCAATTAACCTCTAAAAGCGCAACCGCGCCTCGAATTCAAAACTAATTTGTTAGCATATTCGCATCTTTATTTGCAAACCAACTTGAACTTATATCTTGCTCCTATTACTTTTATGGGGGGGCTTGGGAACTTGATATGTTGGGGGATCCTGCCAGTAATAGTGGCGATCGGGGGGTTCTATATGCAGTACCAGGCGAACGTGTTCAAACTCCTGGACATTGGCAAACATGTGTATAACCACTACCCTGGACCCTGTCGAGTTGTCGAGGGCTTAGAATACGGAGCAGAAAAGGTTTGAGCCCAACAACGCGATTTTTTGGTCGAAAGTTTCCGAAAAAAAGGAAAAAAACGCCATTTTGGCCTGTTTGTTGCAAAACTTGCCTACGGCGCAGAAAGTTTGGTCAATATAGGGTCTTTTTAGTGATTTGGGAGAGCCCAGAAAATCAATTGGATCGACCTAAAAATATAGTTATAATGACTAATAATGACTGCACCTGAAAATATGCCGCGAGCGCTCAAACTGGCCGTGCTTACTCAGGTCCCGGTGCGTTGCTCAAAATATGACCGAATACGGTCGTATGGAAGACCACGAAGCAAGGTGAATTACACAGCCAACGAAATTCTACTGCCAATTTTGGATCTTTTCTGTTATACGTCCAAAACTCATCTTTCTGTTATGTTGAAAAGAATCGGATTCTTTTCAACAACATAATTCTTGAATCTAATTCTCGAAACTCATTCTCGAATATGATTCTCGAATCTGATTCTCGAAACTCATTCTCGAAACTCATTCTCGAATATGATTCTCGAATCTGATTCTCGAAACTCATTCTCCAATCTGATTGGCAATTTTAGGCCGTATAACAGAGAAGACCACCAATTTCTGATGCTGAGATTTTCTTAGCTGAGACTGATGTTCCTACTTTTGAAAATAAACAAAGCTTACTTATTTGACAGGTGATCGTGCTGCCAAATGGACTAGCGGTGATTGGATCGGGGATCAAGTTGGCAGGACGCAACATGACATGGGTGGAAAACTCGGGCCTGTTTCTGTTCGACTTCACGAATCCCTGGCAGAATGTGACCAAGTTCCAGTTCAGCTCCAACTACGACCCAACAGTGAGAACGTATCCTGTTTTCAGCTTAGCACGCAAACGCCGATTGTTCCGATCAGGCTTTTTGGTGTCTTTTTTCTTCTTGTGGCTTTATCCACAGATCTCAAAATATGAACACAGAAAAAAAACATCAAAGACGGTTGCTGTGCAAGCAACAGAGAACGCTCAGACCCTATAGGGTGTTAGGGGGAGGACGGGGATGTGATACCAGACTTGACTTCTTACGAGTTTTCTTTGATGTCGTCAAATTTGGGCGGAAAAAGCACTAGAAAATCCATAGTTCCTTCCAGCTGTCAATTTGAGTGACGCGGTCGGAACAAAACTGCTCGAATTTGATTGGTTGAGTTTAAAAACGCCAATAGAAGATAATTTTTGTGCGGAAAAAGAAAGGCGCAGCTTATGTTCCAATTTAATTCCTTATTGTACATTAATGTGGAACACCTCAAGGTCAAACTTTGAAGTATTTTGAATAATTAACCTTTGCACCTCATACTCTGATGTTACTAATGGTGAAGTTATGCAAAAATTCTGCTATTAAAACTGTATACGAGCTTCTTTTTACTATAAAAACAGTAGAAAAAAAAACATTTTACTATAAGATCTTGTATCAGGACCAGAGGCGGATTTAGGGGGGGGGCGGGGGGGCGGACGCCCCCCCCTCATGGATTCGAACCCCTGCCGACCCAAAGGGTCCCCCCTTTGATACTTTTTCAGAAATCCATTTTTGGCAGACCGACCCTAAAATTTTTCTAAAGGCGCCTTCGGCGCCAATATATACTAACTTTGAGGGGGGAGCGCGCGCCAAAAAAAAAACGCTATTTTTTGTCAAAATTTTTAAATTTATCAAAAAGTGCCCAAAAACGGCTTTTTTTTTGACTGTTTTTTCAAAAATTTGCCTGCGGCGCAGAAAATTTTGCCAAAATTGGGGCAAAACAGTGCTTTGGGAGAGCTCGAAAAATCAATTTGGTCGACCTAAAAAAAAAAAAAAGGTCGTCAAAATTTTGGAAAATTTTTTGAAAATCCGCCCCCCCCCCCCCCTCGAGAAAATCCTAGATCCGCCCCTGATCAGGACTACCCAAGATTCGTTTGCTTAGAATAGCTCATGTTCTGGCTGCGTTTGCCTAGAATAACCAATGTATTAGGTTAGAATCAGGCCATTTGCGTTTAGAAGTAGAAAAGTCATTTGTTCAGGCTGTTTGAGTTTAAGATTCGAATTGAGATTCAGGAAACAATTTTTTAACTTTAGGGTTTCAACCCGCATGGAATCGCATTCTACGAAAACCAGCGTACTGGGCGAATTTCTCTCTTCTTAGTGAACCATCGGCCAGATGGAGACGCAATAGAAGTATTCGACATCGACTTTGCGAACATTCGGCTAATATTCAAGAAAGCCTTCAGACATCCTTTGATTTACAACATAAACGACATTGCGCCGACGGGGGAGAACAGTTTCTTTGCGACGATTGACCAGTACAGCACTTCTGAGAGGGGAAAATATTGGGAGATATTCGGCTTCCTCAAATGGGGAAGGGTCATCCACGTTGACGGGTCAGAAGCGAAGGTTGGTATACTATCCTGATAAAAAAGAAGGAGCTAAAAAAGAAGGTGCTCGTTGCTTGAGGGTGAAGCAACATTACCCAGTCCAGAAAAATAACCAAAAAAATTGCATGTAGTTCGTAAGCAGGGGCACAACAGCGGTTCGCCGTGATGAGCTGTACAGCTCTTGTGTTGGTCCTTTCCCCCGTGGATAAATGGTCTTAAAGTAAAGAATAAAAAAACAAAGGAAGCATAAAAAAACTTTGCCGTGACCTTGCGTGTTTTGGTGTTTAAGGAGAGTTTGTGAGAACAAATTTTGTTATTCAATTATTTTCCACCCACTGAAAATTGTAGATGATGAAAATCATCAGGTTCTATTTGAACTTCAGCTTCTGTTAGACAGCATTGCACAGAAAAACATTTTCAACAAGTCTTTTCTCAGGGATTCGACCCCCTGCCGACCCAAAGGGTCCCTTCTTTGGTACTTTTAAGAAATCCAGTTTTGGCGCCAATATACTAATTTTGAGGGGGAGCGCGCGCCGAAAAAACGCGATTTTTTTGGTCAAAATTTTCCAAAAAGTGCCTAAAAATGCCTTTTTTGGACTGTTTTTCAAAATTTTCGAAATGTTTTTGAAAATCCGCCCCCCCCCCCCATATCGAGAAAATCCTAGATCCGCCCCTGGTTGTACACAGCAGAACAGCATTTTAGTGATTTTTTTCTTGTGTGGGTGAATATTGGGATCTCTTCAGCTATCACACACCCCCCCCCCCCCCCCCCCTTAGTACTAGTAACGATTTGCCACCCCAATAGTTATCTAACTCAACGTTTAAGCATATGTGAATTTTGTACGTAGTTACTAATCTTTTCCTTTTGCAAAATGGGGGGGGATAGTTACAGACATCCGAATATCGTTAAGTTGTATTACTGATTATCTGGGACAGGTTGTGTGGGAGGGACTGAACTACCCGAATGGGCTGGCCATCACGAGGGACAGACGACACCTCTATGTGGCGGAGTTCGTGGGGGGTGACATCCAGGTGTTCGACGTGAGTCAGAAGGACAAGAGTCTGAAACATGTGAGGAGCATCGCCACTCACACCCACCCAGACAACATCGAGATAGACCACGACAGTGGGGACCTGTGGATCGGTAATACTTAATGGACTCCATGCCATTATAGCACCCCCTCCCCCACATAAAACTCCCCCACTTTTTAAATCTTTTATTTTGAACCACCGACTAACTACAACCCATTTTTTTCAATAATAGGTTTTTTTCCCATGGTATCATCCTGCTATAGCCCCTAAAAAAACTCACAGTGACGCGACCACCTCAAAAATTTTAAAAGTGACTTGAAAATTTTTTGAGGTGGTTCGTTTTAAACAATCAGGTGGTTTGCCTTGTTTTTCGTTAAGCCACTCGGTGGGAGAGAACTTATATTTGAAACCGTGGAATAGCTAAAAATTGGCTGGAATGGAAAATGAATCAAGTGAAAAACAAAGTCTAAGCGGGGGCTTAAAAATTGCTCGAAAAAAACTAATATCAATGTTGGCAGTTTTGTGTTTTTTGTTAGAAAAAGACTATTTAAAACCTTTTGAACTGGAGATGATGTCATTGGGAAATTTTGTACTGCGATATAATCCGCCAGCCGCTAAAAACAAAGAAATAGAAATTGAAAACTTAAATGAAGTTATCAAACAAATGTGTCAAAAAAAATTGCAGAGCCCAAGGATCATAACCAATTGTATGTTTCATTTTACTGTCAGTTTCTGTAAAATTAAAAGTCACCGATTACATACCATTATAAATGGATTATAATACTACAAATTTTAATATGAAGTTAAGTCACGCCATTCCCTATCAGTCCTGACATCCGCTTAAATCATCCGTCCGCACATGTTTAACACTATATCCCCTGCCAACTCTGCCACGTGCCAACTTCGGTTTCTTTTGTCAATCTTTTTACGCTTATTAGATACCACCCGGTATGCGGTAGGTGCCACAATTTGACCAAGCAAACAAATGTCATACGATTCTAATCAGCAAATTCCTGACCTCAGTGAGTTCAGCCCTCGAGTTCAACTCAACCTTCAAACCATGCTATGTTTACTCAGTAACCCTCCCAAGGTCTTCATTTAATTATCCCGCTAACGTTCCGACCTCCCAAGGGTAAGGGGAGGCCCTTTTAATGGGTAACTTATTCATTCCAAGCATCTAAAATTTCTATCTGTCCTCTATCCCAATCCCGACCTTCAGGGTAAGGTAGTTCGTCTATTAGGGGTCAAATTGAACCAAAAAGTCACCTCCGGAGAGCCAAGTAAATTGCCCGTCTTTTCATAATATTTATGAGACTTAATTCTCATGAGCGGTCCTATTACTATCAATTTCGTCTGGGACTACTTTTCTTTAGTCTAGTTGAATTGCTATTAATAGATCACTCGCCAAGCTAAACTGAACCCAATGTTTACCTAGTCCACTTTGAAATAACTCTACTACTCCAAGGTTGCAATACAAAACTAAATCTCTTTCAGCTTCTGTCTAGTTCCCTAATTATAAGTTTTCCTCCCAGTTTTTAGCAAGGTGGCCCATGTTTATTTCCAGGGGTTGGGCTGGGGAATACGCCACTTTTCGTTTTTAATCTTGGGGTTTTCCATGCAATTTTGGGATCAAGACGCCCAAAGGTCAACTTGAGGTCACCCAGGGGTCAATCGAGGTCAAACTTCCATTTTTGGGTTTAGAGTCCCATGGGGGTCCTAACTACCAAGTTTTACTCATCTACCATTAATACTTCAAAATTTATCCCATTTCTAAGGTCCATTATCACTTTTTCCGGAAAAAGGCAATTAAAACCGGAAGGAGTCACCGGAGGTTTTTCACACATAAAGGGTCTTTTTCGTGGTTCGTATCTTATGTCCATTGCCGCAATAAAATCATTATGCCACCGTTCATCATTACGCCTGAATTGCCTATTCCGGTCTAGGGCGATGTTTTTTTCAGTGCTAATAGCTTCCAATTCAACCGCTAGATTCGGTTCAATTTATAATACAAGATGTATCTTGCCACTACCTATCATTACTCCAAGTTTCAGCTCCCTGCACTCATTGGAGGCCGAGAAACGACTTCCAGAAATTAGGGCTGGGTTTGTTTGCTTAGGGCATAAAACCGGAAGTGGGGTTCCTAGGAGTCTGGGATTCTCAACTTAAGTTTCCCTTAACTAGGCCTACAACAAAGTTTGAGCCCAAAACCGGCGCTAGTTTCCGAGTTTTGATAGGGCCATTTACACTTCCAGGGAACCGTTATCACTTGCCCCCCAAGGGTCTGAGGGGTCCTATTTTTTGTATGCCCGGGTCCAATCATCTCTAGTGTCGCTCCTCTGAGTTTCATAACATCTCTTTTACAGCTTTCTTAGTTCCGATTTTTTTTGGGGGGGGGGGGGGGGGGGTCGCCGATTTTGTCAAATTTTACTTTCTGGCATAGGAGGGACAATATCTTTGAAGATTGAAGTATTTTGAACTCTACCCTTTGTTTGCTCTACTGCTTAACTTAATGGCGAATCAATGTTACGCTCAGGTTACTATAGCATGTAATATAGTAGAATCACCAATTCTAGATTGTTATTTATAGTGTTTCAGCTGAAGGTGGTTTAAAAGTTCGCCATCCGAACTCCTTCACGTAATTCTGATAAATGTATAAATAGGTGCATACCCGCATCCAGTCTCAAGCGTTAATAATCGATTATATTACGGTTTTAGTACCATTTTTACTAAAATTGAGAAACAATCGATTCTAATCAATTAATAATCGATTAGAATCTCTCTTTTTAAAATCAAATTTTTATTCAAATTTCTAATTCATTAGATTTGCACAAAAATCCATTAAAGTCAATTATAATTGATTATGTTTCTTTTTGTTTGTCCATTTTGTCTTCGAAGTTGCATCTAAATTGCTGATATTTTATGCTTTTTGTAGACGTTAAATCCTATGAAAAAAGAGAAAATGTTCTTGAAATTTCCCAATCGATTCGAATTTATAAGTTTTTTTCCACTTCTTCCCCATTAGAGTTGTTTTGTGATGCATATTTAAAATTTTTTAACCACCAAAGCATCAGCGAATTGATTTATTTCATGATTGATTCGGAAGATTTTTTTTCATCTACCCCGGGAAACTTTTCACTAATATGACAGGATCTCTATGAAACTTTTGTTTCGTGGTAAAACGTTGTGTTCAGATGAACCAAAGTGTTCAAGAGATCTCTCTGTTAGAGATTTTCTTAACGATTATAAAAAATTAAAAACTCCTGGAAAATATCACGATAATAGTCAAATATAAATCTTTTAAACACCTAATTTTGGTAACGATAATCAATTATAATTGTAAAAAAAATCATCATAATAATCGGTTATAATCGATTACTTACGCCTAAACTTGGATGCGAGTACCTTGGATTTTTCAATGTGGCAGAATATCAATGCTTTAAAATTTTTTCGTTTCTCTGGGGGGTCAATCGAATTGATTTTTTTAGCTGCCCAACTGAGAAAATCTGATTTAACAAAACATCTGATTTTAAAAAAAAAACAACAAACGGCAAATTTGGGCATTTTTTGAAATTTTTTATTGAGTCTTCACTTTTGAATGATTTAGTTGACCGCTCGCATCTCACACTTACTATATATTGACGCCAAGAGCGCCTTCAGAAAATTTTCAGGGTTGTTCAGCTAAAATGGATTATTGTACTATAATACAGTGGAGTATAATGAGTTTTTTGTTTATAAATATTTTATTTTCTTGAAAAACTGTTGATTATAAAGGATTTTATTGGGTTACGATCAACTTAAGTATAACCAATTGTAATGATTTTTTTAAAATCAATTATAATTGATCATTGTCTATTTAAACTCTTCAAGTAGTTCTTTTGAAAATATTATGAAATAACATAACTTTTGTACTAAAAACGATAAGCATAACTTTTGTACTTTTGTTGTTGATCCGAACTTCGTAACAAAAGTAACAATTATTATTTGTGCTCGCGGTGGGTTTTTTTTCTTCAGACAAATTTCGAGTTTTTAACTAGCCATTTTGACGGAATTTTTTAAAATCATTCGAAAGGTATTGTTGTCATGAGCTCAAATTTGAAAAGATATTTCACCTGTGATCATTTTTCGTAAAGTTATGGGGGTTTAAAGATTGCCATTTTGGCCAATTTGGGACAATTAACGCGCGATATATTTCGCGCTATGAACGCGTAAGCGGAGATTTAATATGTCATAGAAATCGTTCCAAATTGGTTGAAAGAAGCTTTTTTCCATAAATGATTTGTTAAAAGGAGCAAAATCTATCCTTTTGTACTTTATAAGGCGTGTGGGGTACAATTTTTACAAAAAAAAATCTCAAACGTTTGAAAAACAATTTTAATTTTATTTTTTTTACATTTTATTTTTTCATGTTATTACTGCCCCTTAGACCTTAAGAGGCAGTCGAAACATTCAGGACCTCGCCTTGATACTAGCAGTCTTGTTGTTATAACAAAATGGTTGATAGTACGATATCAAGCATTTCGTTGTCCACGATGTTCACAAAAGTTAATATTTTCATTGCATTATAACAACGCTAGAACAATTTTCCAACCTAAAATTAAAATGCGGGGCGGAGTGTTTCAAAAAGCTATGTTGACAAAGTGTTTTATACCCCATTGTTTTAAACATGATAGCCCTGGATAATTCGTTTAACTATACAATGAAAGAAGCCAAGTAAATGAGCCTAATATTTTTCTACAGTTTCGTACAATAAATTGTATCAAAACACAGCATAACCTCTTGCAGGCTTCTGCTGTGTTTTGATTTTAACAGTATTTATATGAACGTTTTTCTTTCAGAAAAATTATTTATTTCGAAAACTCAATTTCAAGCAAAACAAGACTGCTCGTATCAGGGCAATCCCTGAATGTTCCGACTGCCTTTTAAGGTCTGTGGAGCAGTAAAAACATGAAAAATTAGATATGAAATTTGAAATTTTTTGTGAAAATCACCCCTCTTAGCCATATAAAGTTCAACGCGATAAATTTCGCTCCTAGTAACAAACAATTATGGCAAATAAACTTCCTTCAACCAATTTGGATGAATTTCGAAGACGGATTTTATCTTCGCTTACGCGTTTATAGCGCGAAATATATCGCGCGTTAATTGTCCAAATTGGCCCAAATGGCAATCTTTAAACCCATATAACGTTACGCTAAATTATCTTAGGTAAAATTTTTTTTCAAATTTAAGGTCAAGGCAACAATAATTTTTGAATGATGTAAAAAAAATTCGCTCAAAAATGGCTAATTAGAAATTCGAAATTTGTCTGAAGAAAAACCCATCCCGAGCACAAAAATTCTGTTATTTTCGTTACAAAAGTCGAAACAACAACGTTAATTGTATCAAAACAAAGCCCGGAATGTTTCGACTGCTTCCCAAGGTCTGTTGGGCAGTGTTCGTTTATTTGAAAACGGATGAAATTTTCAAAGAAAAAATAGTTTTTTTTGCAGATTTTTCAAAAAGCATCCCCAACACGCTACGTAAGGTTTAACGTTAGATGTTTCTCCTATATCAAAGAGTTAAATACACCAAATAGCATGCCTAATTTCAATTTGGAACGATAACTAATATCTAAGTCGGATCAAATTTCCGCTTACGCGTTATCAGCGCGAAATATATTGCGCGTTAGTCATCTCAAATTGTCAAATTGGCACTCTCTAAACCCTATGCAAAATTTGCCATTTGTAAAAATTGAGCTCATGGCAGCAATACATTTAAAATGATATAATAAAATTCCATAAATAAATGGCTAATTGAAAAGCCGAAAATGGTCAGGACAAAAAAACCCTCGAACACAAATATTCCCACCCCGTCACTTTTGAAACTTGTATTAAAATAAGTTTTTAATTTTAAAAACGTAGGTTTTATCTCGGGTTAAAATTAACTCCTTTGAACATTTAAGTGTTTTTTTGAACCAATATCTAAACCAAACTTGACTTGCTGTTTTTCAGGCTCGCATCCAGTTTTCTTTCGTATCTTCCAGCTGAAAAAAGGACCCATAGCTCCCGCCTCTCAGGTGATCAAAATATCCTACGACCCAATTGCGAACAGGGCGCCCATAATCAACGAAGTGTTCTCGGATGATGGGATGATATTAATGGGATCGGCTGGTGCAGCCCACTGGAAATCTCGACTGCTTGTCGGATCCGTATTCGAACGTCTAGTTTACTGCGAGATAAATGTCCCCTACACGGCCAATGATATAGTGGATAGATGGACTATTTAAATGAGTATTATATATTTGTAGTTAAAATCAAAAAAAGAAGCCGTTCATATAAAATTGTGTTTCTAACATCGAAAGCTTCCTTTCTTTAACGGCAAATCTATAATTATTTTGACTTATTGTTTGTAGTTGTCATGCTTTTGCTGAGGTTTGGAGCTGATTTTTTTTTCATTTCGTCACAATTTTTGCCTCGTTTTGCAATTTAAATTTAATCATTTGACATCACTGTTGTTTTAATACTTAAAATCCACTTTTCTTCTGAAAATCAAAGAATAAACTTTCAGTTTAAATCTTCTGCATTTCTTTTTTTAACCGATTCGCTCCAGGATCTTCATTGAGAGTCGTCGCAGAAGCTGAGGTCATTCTTCTTCCTTTGAAGACGACTTATGATGCAAATTAATCGTAGCCTCAGTTAAGCCATCTGAGCTGCCGTGTTGAAAGGAGTGATCCGAGTTGGGCAATTATAGACAGACGAAACCAGAGAAAAAAAGGTTTTTGCAGTGTTTTGCAACCGAAATTTGGCATGCTAAAACTTCCGCGACTGTTGAGACAGTATACCTTAAGCGGAGTTGCAGGAACTCAGCAAAAGAAAAACAAGTACGCGAGCCAGTTTGGCTCAAAATCATAGTCATTACTGAATGTTTTCCGAAACTTGAAAACTTTGCACCAAATTTGAAACTTTTGGCTTCTTTCGTAAAAAAAAGAAGTTTAATTGTTCAGTAGAAACAAAATCTTGCTGGCTTATTGGAAGTGGGCTTCAAGCCTCCAAATTGTAGGAAAATTTTGCAAGTAATAAGCAAGAGAACATATCTTTTGGTTCAAGATTTGTTGCAAAAATATGGCAAGGTTTGTATTCCAAGGCCACTCGGTACATATGTTGTAACACTGTATGTATGATTTTTTGTTTCAATAAAAAATGGGTTTTGCTATGATCAAACCTAGTTTTTTGTTTGAACGTTTTTTGCATTAATGTCCAAGACTGGGAAAACATGCCGCTCAATCACATTTCCATGCGTATCTAAAAAAAATTCTGGCGCGACTATAACTATCCGGGATGAAAACAAACCGGAAAAAGAAACATCCATTTTTTTCTCACTATTTAAATTAAGCAAATCTCACACACACAGTTAGTTTGTTGCCCGTAAAAATAAGTTTAGTATTAGGAAATTTTGATCGCGCTAGCAAAAATGACAGTTTTTGAGAAGTTCCCTCTTATAGGTGATTTTTTTTTCATAAAATACCTATGATATCGAAAAAAAAGTTAGTCCCACTTTCAGGATGCATACGCGCAAACGAAAACCTTGTTGATCAATAAACGACATAATACAGAGCCAATGAGTTCATCAATTTATCCCAATACATTTAAATCGAATAGATAGAAAAAAATTCCAAAGAGAACAGGTTTTTCCATTGCAAGCATGTTGTTGTTGGTTAGTTTTGCTTGAAGGTTGCTCAATGTTGTTCCTCTATTGCTTGGTGGAACAGATATTTAGGGATAGTCCATAATTCCACCAGCGGCATTTATGAACAACTTTGCTTGCAGAATGGAAAAAATTAAAGACCACTTTGCAATACTCTTGCTTTTCACAAGGAAAAAATTGAAAAACTTTAACTTTGCAATTTAGAGAAGCTTTGAAATTCTTTTTAATTTTTGCTGCTTTGAGTGTTCTTTTTGCTATAAAATTTTTTGTAGATTATTGACTTTAAAAGGTTTTTTTAATGGTAGAGATTACTACACTAATGTACAATATTAATCGTAGTTTCAGTCGCTTACTGTCAAGTAACCAAATTTTCAAAAACCATCTGGATTAATCCCTTCTGGAGTTATTAAAGCTTAAATTGAGTCTTCCTTTTTTTCTGCTTCCAAACATAGCTGTTTTCAATATCCAAAGTAAAGTTTAAATACGATAATAATAATAATTGTAGTTCCTGCGAATCGCAGAGGAGCTATCAGTAGGCCTTAACAGTCCTGTCGAGGATAGTCCATGAGTATTATCTCCCCACATTCCAGACAGTGTTATTTTGCTGTGCGAAGCTGTTTTTTGCGACTCAAGGCCGTTTTTTGCGTCTAGAACTTTTACGTGGTACCACTATTGCAGCCAAATTTGGTCAGGTTGTGGTAGACCTGAAGCAGGAGGTCAAGTGAGAGCTTGTCCTCACACACTATCATTGCCATGGCATGGGATCAAATACACAATCTGACGATTTCAAAGTGAACGCAATACCACTGTGCTAAGTGCCTCTAATAATAATTATAATAATAATCATAATAAATTAGTTTCCAATTGAACGCAAAACAAGTACACTTGAGAGAACCTCAAAAAGGTCTTAATAAGCATAGCGCAAGCTCATCCACAAGTTTACAATTGTTAATGTTGCCGATAGTGTGTTGTTTTCTTAATATTCTTGCTAATGTTTTCGTTAGATCATATATGTGAAGTTCTCTACAAGTAATTTTTTTGTATTTGTTTTTCACTATTCCTAGAGTGTCCGGTTTTTTTTCTTTAAAAAGAACACTTAAGCTTCTGTTCTGCGCTATGTCAACACTTTTTAAATCAGTTTTTTTTTCAGACCATATAAGAGCACTCCGTATTCTAACACTGGTTGAATAAAGCATTATGTAGTTTTAAAATTGATTTGTGACTCAAAAACTGTTTGTAGTGGTACCTTTTGCCTCTGTGTGATGACAATCGATTTATGAAGTGATTTTATGCACACAAAAAATTTCATGATCGTTTGTTTTCTGAAAAACCCTTTGGATCAGTCAGTTTTTTACGATTTCTATATTCATTGATAGTTCGAAGTTTTTGCTAGTTTATTTCCTTATATTTAGAAAAAAAGTAATTCATCTTATTTACATATATAGATTCAAAGCTGCAGTAGATTGTGGATGGCAGTAAAACGGAATTATTTGTGCAAGGCTTAAGCCCGCCAGGTTTGAAGAAAACGCTCATCAAATTCTAATTGACAATTCCACCCGCAACTTGGCAGCAAGTAAAAGATTATGTAGCTACCAAAGACTTAAGTTTCGCTGCAAGTAGTGAGTTTACTGGAACAGCCTCAAAAAGTGTTGGTAATAAGTTGGAAATAAAGGGAATAAAGGATCAGCTTAAAGAAATACAGAATTGCTGAAGGATCTTTACATAAACGCAGCTTGGAAAAAGCAAATGAACCAAGAAATTATTTTGTGAATGATGTCGTAGATCAGGCAATACTATCAGATTTGTTGCAAATACAGAGATCATAAGGATCAAAATCAAAAACCACCTCAACATCGATGAAAAATTTTGGAACATTCATAATAGGAGACCTAGGCCTCGAGAACAAAAACAGTTTCAACAATCGATATTAAAAAAACCAGCGAAATAACGGCATCATTTCCCCCGTATCCTCGACAGATAGTTGAATAATAAAACACAATAGTTTTGATAGACCTCGAACTCATAATTTTGGATGAAGAGATGGGATTTTCAAAAATTGATTTATTGTCTTAAATAACTAAAATCGCCAAAACTTCTATAACACAAGTTCAAATAACTACAATCAAAATGGAAACAGAAGTAATTCTATACCCGATAGATATCGAAATCATTTTCGCAGGTCAACTATACAAAAAGAAGATCTATTTTACAAGACAACTATAGGAAGAACACCAAAAAACACCGCGACAAAAAAATCCCATCTCACAATAACTAAACAAGACAAGATCCCTAGGTGATTCAAAAACATTTTCTGGATAAAATAGCCGAGAAAGAAAACCTAAAGTACAATTTGGTAAAATTAAAAACCACGGTTAATTCAGAGACGACAAAGGCAATTAACTAATTTTAAACTAGAACAAACTCCGCAAGATGAAAAGTCAAAAATGTTTTTTAATCTATATCAACATACCGTCAGAAATGAAAACAAAATAACGGCCTTGAAACCGAATTTTAAGTGGATGCTGGAGCAGCGTGTTCACATTGAAACTGTTTTTGATTTTGCAAAAAAGCAAAACCTTTCTAAAGGGCCATCGAAAACATTAGCTGTTAATGGCAAAAAATTTAAACTGTTGGGATATACAAACTTCAGTCCTAGTTTTGACAGTAAAAGTGACTATTCTGAAAAATTTAGAACATGGGTTGCGGCCAACGACATATAAGTCATCGTTTTTTTCTAATTCAACCAAATTGGAATAATTAGAGTATTGAATTAGAACAATTAATGAAAACTTTGAAAAAAAAAAGATAAATTTTTAACAGAAACAGAACTAGATTACTTATAAATACGAACTAGAAAGAGAAATTAGCAGAGAACTAGATGACTCAAAACCCTAATAAGAGTACAGACAAACAAATTCACGAAACCCAAAAAAGTTTGGCAGGAAAAAACGAGAGTTACTGAGAAAATTTGATTTTATTCACTCTGATATAAACCAAGATCAACTACAAGACATAATGTATATGTTATTATACAATGAAAACATATATTTACAGAAAAAAAAGACTTAGGCCTAAAAAAATCAAAAGCTTCATGTCAATCTGTTAATGACTATCTATAGTTTCGTTACATTATCAGAAAAAAGTAGATGACTTACTAGACCATTCATATAAATAAGGAATAAAGAAATGGGATCAAAGTCCAACTATGATACTATCAAAACGAAACATAGTCAAGTTCGTTTTTGACATTCCTGAGATCAATAACTGATTGAAGCCAAAATTCATGCCCATTAGAGCTGATAGGATTGCTCATAACTAAGATCAAAGGAAATTTCTTCACCACAGTGATTTATGCTCCTCTTATATTCAAGTACCCTTGACTGAAGAAACACAACAAAAAACAAGTTATCTAATTGCATCAAAATAACGCACTGTCAAACCAGGTTTTTACGGATAATGAGGTCTATCAAACACTTTAAAAGAATAATGACCATACAGTGTGCACAAATTGTAGTAGAAAAAATCGAAGTCAGTAAAACAGACCGAGACATACTAAAAAAATCTGTACTAAAAGCTCAACCAGAAAAAAAAAGTTTTTTCAGAAGGGAATCACTTCTTAGTACATGTACTAAGTACAGATGGTGTGCAACCAAATAGGAAAAGGTGGATGGTTTCAAAAAATTAGAAACCTCTGAAAACAAAAGAGGTGTATTGTGAGTGATAGGTTGTTTAGAATTTTATAGAATGTTTA